GCTGCGCAAAAAATATCACATCCGGTCAGCAAGACGCCTCGTTTGGCGGCAGAAATAGGTCCCGAACCTGTGCGGCTCGCCGCCGCGTTTTCCACCCAGCGTTTCACCCCAGCGGCAAAAGCTGGGCAGATTCGCTGGCGGATCCGCAAGTGTAAACATAGGCTTGACGCCTCCTCAGAGATCAGCGCCGCTGTTTACAAACGCTTTCGTTAGTCATTCAGTACCTCTGTTAACAGCGAACACCCCACAATAATACACGTCCTTTTACTAGAAATTTCAATAAAAAAATAGGGGTTCGCGAAGCCCTCACTATGGCGCCAGTTACTAAAACAAGCTGCGTTTTTACATCAAAATTTTCAAAAAAATACCTATAGGTATTTTTTTGACAATAAACTATACAATAAACTGGCTTTGTGCCATCAATCATGTCTGAAGCTAACGTTCAGAAGACTACAACAATACCATAGTCTGTTGAAGACAAGGCATATTCGATGTGTGCCTTTGACATTGGACCGTAATGCGCAGCGCACATTTCGTTTTAGCTCAGTCAATTTTTTTAACATTTTTTTTTTATTTTCCCTAATATAAGTCTTATCAACTTGACGACAGAACTTACGAATTTACAGAGGAGCAGCTGTCCCCCAGATGCTTCAGAGGCGGCCTTAATACCGTCTACTCCGTGCAGACAGGACTTTCGAAGTGACCCTCATAACTCCACCTTACTTACACGGGTTAAAGGGATACGGAAACCAATTTCAGAGCGCATGTGTTCACTTCAACATAAATTGGGTTGCAGTAGCACTACACAAATACCAACATTTTGTTTTAAAAAAAACGTATTAAAACGTAATTTAATTGAATAAAACGATAACCCAACAACATTTGGTGGTTGTCCGCGAAGCTTCGATGGAAAGTCGTGACGGCATCAGAATAATAAGACCAGCGCCAGAACCGGAACTACCCTCACTCAGACATTGCTTCTGCCTGAACGCAGTACCCAGACGCTTTGGTGAAGAAAGTCACAACAGAGAGGGCCACTATTAGTTTAATTTTTAAGAGGCCTTTCGGGCAACGCTTGTTTGGGGTGGTTTCGGGTACGACCGTGCGACGCCATGTCGATGTTACGAAATGTAGATTTAAACGAGCCCGAATGCTTAACTCTGGCGATGACGGGATAACCGCCTTGGTCGACTGCTACGAAGTCAACACAACTACCACCATTGCTAAACGAAGACAGCCTGAACGGCTCTGCAAAGCGGCGCACGTGGAAACAAATTGCCGCAGCATTTTTTGTGGCTTCGGCGTTGCGGGAAGTAGCCGACGTCCAGGAAGATACGTTTGAACTGCAAGAGTGTCAGCAAGAGCCACGTAAATACATCTTCAGCGTAAAAGCGTAACCTCGCTGGCACGTCACCGTCGGATTGTGTCGTGGTAAACGCTCCGTGAACGATCATTTACAGCGAATTATCTTAACCGCTGGGCCACTAGAAACACTCTGATTTGCTGCTGACGTGACGCTCGGCAGATAAAGATTGGACCGGCATTTAGCCGCGTCCTACAACTGCTCTAACTAGACATGTGTTGCCGTACCGTCAAGTCGGAATAAAAGCGATATACTAAAATAAGCGTTCGTAGCTATTTTGGTTGTGAAAGCAATCCATATGGCGTTTATTTCCGGTCTATAGCTAGAATTACCTATATTCGGAGTTTGGCTGTCGCCAAATGGAGAGGGTATTTCTCGGAGTTTAATATTTCCGAAAATTCGGAGCTTATCGAAGTTTATTTTTGTCAAATTCCCGATTCTCCAAAATTCGAAACAATTGAGATGTGTGTTTCTTTTTGCAGTAAGAAGAATAAATATTTTCTGGGTATAAACGTGTGTTAGATACAAAACAAGGCGTATCAATTCATATCCTTTGAGCTGAATTCGGCGTTCGTGCCGTTGACATGGTCAGTACTAATTAGTGCTACGAAAGTGGTTGCAAACAAGTGTTGCTTCGATAAACCTGGATAGCTTCAAAACAATAAACCCCTGGAGGTAGTCGCCAGGAAGCTCGTTTTCATTTCATCCTATCCAGTAACATCCCGCTGCTGCGCGGGGTGGAGCGTTAAAGTGTGTAATATAGATCCTTCAACGGCCAACCCAATCTTCCCCTCCAAGAACTCCCTATGGTTCATAGCTTTCACTGCTACAGAAACGTAACTCCGCCTTCTTCTAAAAGCACAAATAGAATGACTCAAACTGTATTTTCTGGTTTTTGGTAGAGCGCAGGGTAGCTGAGTTTGGGCAGCCCTGAGATGAGGAATGTTATTGTGGGGAGAATTCCCAAGGTCACACGCCCTATAGACGGCGGGGCGGTTGTTCCAAGATGGTGGATGCGCCGGGGATAGAGAACCTAGATTCGAGAATATATCCACCTGAAATCATGGGGAGTGTTTGCAATTTAATGGCGGACATCACTCGTGCCGATTTGTCGCAAGTGCCCATGCGCTGCGTTGTCGCGTGGCAAGGAGTCAAGCAGGCGGAAAGGCAGAGACGTTAGCAGACCATGAACGCGTTTGACACCTCCTCGCAGGCCGTATTCAAACGCGAATCAAAACCCACGTGAAAAACGAAGCGGCTGGGGATAGTGTCATTCACAGGCTACGGATATGTTGACGTGTGTTCAGAACACAAACATGTTTAAGCTGTGCCGGCCACCAGTGCTCCATGCACTGGGGGCCGGTACAGCCTAAACCACGCAATACTTTCATCACCGTCCAATTTCTTTTCCCCTACACACGCCCAAAGCGAGCTCGTCTTAACGAAATTTCGAAAAGTACCAGTTTAACCTAACACTTGAAAGAAAAGAAAGAAATACCGACATGTTTGCTTTCTGAACACACATCAACATGTCCGTAACCTGTGGCCGGCAATTTCCCCAGCCGCTTTTTCCCAGTGAGTCTGCGCGGCTTACTCGTTTAAACGAGTAAGCCGCACAGGGTGACTGTCAAGCTCCGGAAGAGCAACGTTCTCATTTTTGATATTTGTTTTGAGGGTTCCCGGCCCCCTTCACCCCACAAAGGTTTTGCTGCTTTGCCACAGGTTAGCAATCTGGCGTTACGCGAAAAAATTTTTTATTTTCTCGTATCATCCACATTTTCGCATCGCCAGCCTTCCGACTGCTTTGTAACTTCCGCACACCCTCGTGGTTCCCTTGTGCTTCAAATGTTTCTGATATGCGTCGAGAAACTGAGAGAGAGGAGGAGAAAAGAGTGGAAGGGGACATCAGAACACCGAGCTCTGGTTGGAATGATTAGTAGACCTAAAGCTCTTCTCTGCACTTGTCGAATGCGTAAAACGCGGAGGAACGCCCGCGTTCGCGTTTGATGCTCGGATTCCAACGCGCACAACGTGTGACGTGGAAACAAAGGCTGCTATACTTCGTTTCACCTTATGTTGTGCCGCAGCGAAGGCTAGAAGAGCGAGATCATAGCGTTGACAGCCGCTCTTAAGTCAGGAGAGGTTGTGCCGCCGAGATGTGCCCCAGAGCAAGGAGCTCGCGCTTGTAGCCTTTCCTGCAGCACATCATAAGGTGAAACAGAGTATAGATTTAGGTCTCCCACTAATCATTGCAATCAGAGCTCGGTGTTCTAAGTCCCCCTGGGCTATCCTTTCCTCCTCTCCCTCAGTTCTTCGGAGCATTGACTGACTTCTAAAGGTGTTTTTGATGACGCGCAGCAAGTTTCTAGTTGCAATCGCGCGTGTAATTTGGTTGATTATAAAGTGAATTATTCAATTTGAGTTAATTATTTTGTAAATTTTTGTATTTAAAAATTCATGACGTGAGCTGTGGCTTGCAGTTTGTTCTCGAGAATAGATTTTTTTCCTCATCCACCCTATTTGTAGGAATGTTTTAAAGTGTTCGCCAGACCACCCGGTAAAGGGTCGTTTTTCGACGTTTATGAGCGCCTTCGAATATGCCCCAAAAGCCAGCAGAAGGATAGGGTGCGCACTAATATAAGGATTATTTTTGTGTTCACAATCAGCAGGTGTTAACATTTTATCGGTTTTATTTAATTTCATTGAAATTGCCAGTTCCCTTAATCAACGATTCATTTTCATCTCTTTAATTTCAAAAAGGGCTATCCAAGCTCCCGCACATTTCAGTAAACGTTCCTTTAAAGATCTCAGGTGTTCTGCAAACTTTTTGTAGCGTAAAGCGATGTAGAATGAAGCCGCCTTTTGCTGTATTCCGATTTATTACGGTCGTCTGGAAAACATCACTCGTGATTTACCTCCTAATGATTCGATGTTTGGCTCCCATCGAAACCATGCCAGTAAAGGCTGAACTCCATCGGGACGAATATGCTGAGAAAAATCGATGAATTTCGGCCGGCGGCTTTTGCTCTGCGCGTAGAGTCAGCACAGTAGCTGCTACGTCGCGCGCAAAGCAAGTGTGACGTCGAGCGTCGTTCTTCAGTTATTCGTCGCATAATTCGCTCCATGGAGTTCACTGGTGCGAGTATTAGTTGTCGGACTACAAAACGAGAGTAAGAAAAAGAAAATCATAAATGCGTGTTTTTTTCATTAATATTGCACAATGTGGATAAGCATTTTGCTTCATCTGCGGATGTCGCAAATCTTGCTCAATAAAATATCGCGAATCGCACCACCCACAAGAAATTGAAAAAAAAAAATTGTATTGCTCTTCCGTTTTTCACAATGCGGCTAACACTTTCACAATTTCCGTTTGCACAATATCTGCTTTGGAGACCTCACAATAAACAAGAGCCTGGCGTTTTGCTATTACGTAATACTAAAATATCCATTTCTGATTTATGGTGAAATGTTTCTACTGTAGCTGTTAAACTCTTGCGCCACTTGTGTAATTTATCGCTGAGCTCAAAGAAGCTGAACGCACAATTTAAGAAAAACTTATTTTTACGTTTTGTTTTTAAATTGCAGTTGTCTGTATAGTAAACAAATTAACCTCTTCATATCTAACACAGATTTCACATTCTGGTCCAACTGAAGAGCTCAAGATGTATCTCACGCACGTCGTGTTTGCTAGCCTTGTTGCGGCCGCAATCGCCGTGGAGATTGCTTCCCCAACCTTGAAAAGTGAAACACATACGGACGCATGGAGGGTAAGAACGAAAAACTTGATTACTTGAGTAACAATACGTGATAATCTCATAACTTATTTGGTATTAATTTGACTTCAAATTTGTTGATAGAAAGGCACTTTTTTGCGTTATTTTCATTACCTAGCGTAATCGGTACTCAATATATCTGCTTCCTAGGCAGACATCACCGTGAAACCCTGTTTTAGTCTACTGCCGCATCTCAAAGAAACGTGCAGGGTTTTCTAATCGCAAAGTACTTCATTTGGCTCTGTGTTTGTTGTGTTTTTAGAGCGCAGCTCTTAGCCACCCGTTTCCAGCTTGAGCGGCGTGAGCGTCGGCGTGGGCGTCGCCGTCAGCGTAACTGCGCGGTGCATGATGGGTAAAATTCCCCGCTAAATCTAGCAGAAAATGTTCCCCGCTAAGTTTAGCGGAAAAACTTCTGTGCTAAAAAAAGCGAAAAATTTTCCCCGATAAATCTAGCTGAAATTTTCCCCGCTAAATTTAGCGGAAAATTTTCGCCTAAATGGGGACGAGCAGGAGAGGAGGAGAGGCATAGTTCCTTCTCCGTATCTTCCCCTCCTCCTCCTCAAGAGCTGCGCTCTGATTCGGCGTTACAGGGAGTTGTAAACGGCTTTCATTTTCTTTTAATTTAAAATGTCCACCTTACAGTATGAGTAGTGTTGAGCCAGTCTCTGGTGCCACGAAAACACGTACCCACCGGCGTACGCGGAGTTTTTTCTCTCGAGGGAAACCCTTATACAAAATATGCGCGTCACTTTGCTTTGCAAATGGCTCTTCTGTCTTTTGATTAGGAGGATATTTTAGCTAAACAGAAACTAAACGATTTTTTTTTGTTTTTTTTTACGATTCAAGGTGGCATTGTGGATGCTGCTTTCTAACCCATTCGGACTACGCTAGTCGCAAAAGAGTTCGTTCTTTCCATCAAAAAAATGAAGGAAACATCCCCTTCTGTTGCTCCGCTTGCCTTTGGACGCTTGACCTAGAAACAAAAGAGCTGGGTTTCGGAAAGGAGGGGGGGGGGGGGGGGCTTCCGCGTTCAACCAGGAATCAGATGCCACCGCAACAAAATTACCAAGTAATCGCTGTTGCCTCAATAAAAGTGGCTTGAAGCGCTCACTAAGGTCAATTGGTTATCTCTCCTTCTATGGACATCATGGTTCGTAAACAAATAATAAATTCAGCTGCGCACAAATATAATTAAAATTGATACCAATGGGAAAAAAGAGACGGGAAAACATAACTGACATACAGTGCGTGCGTACGCCTAAAGTACCTCTTAGTGCACTAGGTTTTCTTGATAACAGAGTTTTGTTACATTTGAGATTTTGCATACGGCCTGCGCTCTAATTCTTCATTCAGTTCAGCGATATTGCGACAGGATGTCTTGAATGCAAAATTTTCGCAATTATTTCTTTCAACTCCCTCCGACGCGGCAGCGCTTCGAGCAAGCTTGCTTTTATCGCTTGCCGGTCTCAGCTCAAAGCGGCGTCGCCTGCATATGATGAACGTTGTTCCCGCGCCTCACATAAGTGACCTTTTTACACCATTTACAAAAGAAGCTGCAGGTACTTTAACCAACTGTGTTCGAATAGCCCGACGTTTTGAAGCCTGCTCGGCCGCTTCTTCACGGGTGACTTATTTGGCTGGGTGTTCGTCTTTCTCTTTTTCCCTTTGTCGCTGTCGTTTAAATCTCATCTTGTTTTTGTGACACCTAAAATTTCACAACATATATAGAAAAGTAGAAGACGATTTAAACGGCAGCGACAAGGAGGGGAAAAGAGAAAGACGCTCGCCCCGCCAAGTAAGGCGGGCGTGAACAAGCGACCGATCAGGCCGCGAAACGTCAGTCTATTTAAACACAGTTGGTTAGAGTACCTACAGCTTCTTTTATTAATAGTCACCTAACCAGGCTGAGTTTTTTTTTTCAGCGTACAACACGGTCCTAATGTTTCATGGCGGTGCATTTTGAAACTCGTTGCGTGTTTTCGTAAGCACATTAACGAAAATTAAAAACACTAACCATAAATCTTGAAGAATCGGGACCAGGCGGGTGTACGGTTGAGTCCCTGTAAGGGCCCGCCTCCTTTATATACACAAACCAATCTACAGAGGTTTGGTGACGTCGCGCAGCCCCGACAAGTAGTTGCTGGGAAAAGTACCCGAGGAGTTGTTTTTTTCCCCTTGGCGGGTTGGATGATCCGTGTCTCACGAATTGATATTTTCTAGGATTCGTCTCCGAGGTCTGAACGGTGCTGTTGTCGAAGTCTATTTTGTGGCAGAACAGTTGGTTTTCTGTTCATTATTTGACCAGTTAGCGTTCTCAATTGACGTTTATGTCGTTTCCTGACCAGGCAGGGAGCTGCAGACCTTTTACCTTTGTACACAGATGTATAGTTTATAAACAAGACTTAAGAAAAGGAGACATAGCCATGCTTTTAGCAACGATACTTGGCCGAGTGTTGGGTGGAATCGAGTCAAGTAACCGGAGTGTGACTGATGTCCGCTCTCACGTGGCCACATCTCGCGAACGTCGGGAACCTATTGAGATCGCGATCGCCCTGACGCCCTGTCTCTCCGCTCGCCTCTCTCTCGCTATCAGCAGTCGGTGGCTCGGTTCAGCACGGGGTCGTTGGTCGGCTCGTTGGGAAAGCGGATGGCAACGGTTCGCCCGATTGACGACGTACGACGTGGAGTACCAGAGGTCGCAATCAGTCACCATTTAGCCACAGCACTGTGGTGCGCACTGGTCTGTAGTGGGCATGCAGATCCTGCTGGGTGTAGTTACGTCCAGGTGTTTGCGAGACATTTAGCGCGTTGTCCACGCCGCGTATAGCTCTACTGAGCAGCGGTCTCTATTTCAAACACTCTAGTACTTTATGAGTCGTTGGAGTATCTGCTTCTTTAAACCGTAAAAAAAATCATTTACGTTGCTCGCCCCGTGCAAACGAAGCGTTTTGTCTAGCGCTAAATGGCTCGCACACATCTGTTCGTAACTACACTCAGTTAGCAGGGCCAATGCGCACCACAGCACTGTGGCTAAATGATGAGTGATTCCGTGCTCCGGCAGTCCTTGTCGTACATCGTCAGCCGGCCGAACGGTTGATGGGAAAAGAAGGTCGTGTGGGGTTAAAACGTCCGGCTCCTTTCGATCTCGGAATTCATCAGACGTAGTCGCTTTTTGTCTGTTTTTCTACACCTTCTTGATTAGAAGACGGAGGAGCCTTATGACCTTTCTGGTGCTATTTGCAAAGCATGCGACGCACACCGTTCAACACACTGTGCCGCCACCTGATGTTGCCTAATCGAATTAAAATGTAATGCGATAACATCTCGTGGCTAGTACTTGTTCCCAAAACTTCAATGACGTAATAACATAGATAGGTCAAAAGCTTAAACGTCTTTGGAGTACCACTTTAAGATATAGTTTAAGATCATTTAAACGAATCAATGTATATAAACAATATTGAATATCCTTTTCCCATAATGGCGAGCACGCGATACATTCAGCTATTCGTTTGGATAGTTCTGATACCGACGAGACGTTTTTCACACTTCTCCTGTGGACAATGTTATCTCCCCACGTAACACAGCCCGCAAGGAAACGGAATGTTGTACACAACTTTCTGGACGCGATCCAACTGGAGGGTCCAAATGCCTTTTAACGCAGGCCTGCTCTCGCTCAAACGCAAACGGTGTAAGACTATCTAACCTGAAATCCGTCTTGAAAAGTAGAATTACTTCGAACTTTTGAGCCAAAGCATTCAGAATATTTGAAAACCTGTGAAAGTACGGAGTTACAGCAGCAACATTTCTGTTTGAAACACCCGCAGCCTTCTGCCGTTCTACAATTTTTCTACTCAAAATTTCTTCAGATAAATCCGAACTATAACCACTTAACCTCAACCGAATCAACTGGCTCACTAGCGGCCTGCCGACATAATGAATGCACGACGTTTTTAGAGCATAACCTATAAGAGAATTTACAGCACCAACCTTTAGGAGTTTCTATGGGGCACTGGGCCTAGATGAGGCCGCCTCTTTTCAATGCGACCAACACAGTCTTTTACTGTTTAACAACTGTAGAACTACAAACTGCAACTTCCCCACGACTGTGGAAGAAGCCGTGAACAATAACTCCGGTGCCTCTTCGATAATAAAATTCCGAACCTTAAGTGCGTAGTGCTCATTTGGGGCACATATAAATATGACGTCAACATATCATTGAACAATCATGTTTCTACCCCCAAAGCTTCTACTAAGGATATTACCTCCCTGTCCAGCGCATTGAGATACACCTCCGACAACAGCCGAGTTACAGCAGAGCCAATACACACATTCTCCTTTAAATAAAATACTCCGTTAAACTCTACCACTGTTGACCCTAAGTAACAGGTCAAAATTGTGTAACAACACGTCGAGCAAAGTACCGAGTTGTACCAACTTCAATTCCATCCTGGGTCGGTGCGTAAATTACAACCTCTTAAGAAGCAACAGAAGTGTGAAAAATGTATCTTCATCATCTGAACTCGCAAAATATATTGCTGAATGTGTGCGCCCGCCATTATGGGAAGAAGCTTCAATCTTGTGTAAATGAAGTTTTTCGTTTAAAATAACCTTAAAAGGAACCACAGAAACTTTGTAAGCTAGCCATCTATAGTTTTGAAAGAACGACTGAATTTTTGTTGTTGTGAGTTCTTGCTTTGTTTGTTTTGTGTGTGTGCGTGTGTGTGTGTGTGCGTGCGTGCGTGCGTGTGCTCATATAGCCGGAAGTTAGTCTGCCTCACTGGACGTGGGGTGTCTCAGCTGTAGATGAGCAATTTAACCAGTGCGGTACAACCGCTAGCCTGGTGCACCACTAACTAAAAAAAGGTTGTTCGTCTTACACTCTTTTTTCCCATATAAAGCACCCCAAAGCTTTCGTTCGACGTATAACGCACTGACGTTAAACAGGCGGCCCAAACGTTTAGGAGGGGCCTGATAACGGTGAGATATACCTCATAAAACAGATAAGTACGCATGAAAGACTACTCAAGAAAAAAACACCGAGGCCTTGCGCTGGGGCCGAGAAAACCCCGATTACTTATTTGTTTAGTCAGTAACACGTACATTAGCTATTTCAGTAAGTTCTACCACTCAGCTATCAAGCAGCTCGTCAGAGTAGGTAACGCCGGATCGACGTCAGCGCGCTGAACGTGCTACGGAGGTTTTGGGGTGTCTTATATAGGACAAGGGGTGTAAGTCTGTACTATTTTTCCGAGAGTGCTGATCTAACACGAACGCACGCCGGTTCATTGCTCATCCAAATCAAAATGTACAGAGATGGTGATTGAACCCAGAATCTTGGGGCCCTGCAGCGCGAGCTTTCACTCCAAGTTCTTCAAGTTGGTGTTCCCTAGCTCACTCGGCCACCGATCCTCTTGTTTGTTTTGTTTTGGTGATGCCAAGGGCAAATGGTTCGCGGAGGCTGGATAGGGATGTTGCTGTATTTTGCTCGGTTCACATAGCCTTACCGGGTATTATTATGAATAATCGTTTGGCGGAGGGTGTCTGCTGTTGGTGCGGTGTCTAGGTTGGAGGTCTGTCTGTCTGGCTGAATTCAATCAAATCTTTGCTGCAGCATGTCTTTTGTCTTCCTTCTGTTCTCTCCGTGTGGATTGCTATATATTTGTTGTTCCCTTGCAAATAAATCCGGCTGCGTTTTGGATTTTGTGTCGTCCTGTGCGTTACTGTTTCTCCTCTTTAACTTTTTTCGGAGAATTGGAGCTGAATCATAACCCAAGATCAGTCTAACTCCTCCGGTATGAGATGGGACGAAGCCCGAGCTCGGACGACAAGACTTAGTATTGTCGAGTAGTATTGTCGAAAATATAGTTTTTGAACTCGCTGATTTAAAAGAAAAAAGTTACTATTACTCACCTATACATCGCCAGCCTTGGCAGATTCCCAAATGCAGAACCAATTATGGTAAGCAGAAAATGAGCTACACGTTACCTATGTTATTAAATGATTATTTTATTCGGAATATAGATGTTATTCAGCTTTCGAAGAATAATATCCTCGAATTGTTTTTTTCTTAAATCTTGATCGTACATGTGTTACTTATGATCATATATAAATGCAAAAAAATGAAATGTTCATTGTAAATACATTTATGTGTCGTGTCGCAGCTGCTGAATGGGGGGTCCGGAGCTTCGTCAAGCTGCGTTCATGCAGCTTTTTCTCTGGCCTCCCATTCACCACATGTATCTGTGGTGATGAATAAAGTTATTATTATTATTATTATAGCCCTTGTGTGTCGAGTATCGACGCCCAGAAATGAACCCAGCCGAAAAATCTTGTCATGCTTGCATGCTTGAAAGAGTGACTACCTTGGGACAGGTTTTTGTATGGTGAAGATACAGAAACTGGCGTTTGCCTGAGGGTTAATTACCTCTGCATAATCAAGGGGAGTACCTACTACAGATATGACATGGTGGTCTCAGGGTTTAGATTATGTTGAGATGGAGTGAAGAGGTACAAAGTGTATAGCTCGCAGAAGGCGATTTATTTATTTTTTGGAACTTTCTTTATGTCAATAGCTGCAATGGGAAGCGAAATATTTTTAACGTAACACTACCCCGCAGTGGTATGAAGACAGCGGTTCTTTTCAATATCTTTTTTTGCAGACAGTGAGTCAGGATGAAACCTTTTATCTGATTTACCGCTCCTACGAGTATGATGCTGGCACCGGAGGCACCGGGAAATGTGTCAGCGTGAAATTATGCGACAAAAATGACACAACCAGGACTGCTACGAGCAGACTTATGTACAGGGATGCTCAGACGACACAATGGTAAGTGTGGGATCGTCATTGGCTAACCATCTCTGCTTTTCCCGACTGCATGTAATTAACTTTTCGAACAATTCATATTTCAGGAAAGGATTTACTGCGCGTGTCACGATGGCTCGTTCGCAGAACAGCACAGTCGATGACATCATCCGACTTGGCGATGCAGATAACTGGGACGCATGTAAGCCGGAATTTAATTTCCTGCTATCTTTAACTTACTGTACGGAGAGGTACCAAAGCCTGTTGAAGCTTTTGAAATTACCGCAAAAATTGTTTTGGTAACGTTTCGCACTACGGTTCACGACAGAGGTGCCCGAAATGGTGGAAGCATGGATCGCGTTAAAATTTCAAAGTACAAACTAACCAAAAAAAAAATGAACTTTTTGTAATCTGTTTTGTTTGTTTGTTAACAGCGCTCCCTCTGGTCCAAAGACTGACGGATGGCGGCAGCTCAGCAGCCGCCGGGGCCGCTGCCGCTATCTATCGGTACTTGCGCCAGTGAGAGGTGCGCAGGTAGTGGATGGATGCAGTACCAAAAGAAAACCATTTATCTCCCTTTCCTTTCTACTTCAATAATCTTTTTTTTTTTTTTTTTTTGCGCGTCTTTTGGTGGTTCCACATGCCGCCTAATGGTACGTTCACACCTGAGAAGGAGGAGGAGGACACAACTATTTATAATCTATTAGACTTGTAGGATCAAACCGATACGTGGAGAAGAAGTCCTCTCTCGCGGGAGCGAATTCGCTGCCGGCGGCGGCGGCGACTAGCGGGTTAAATTTACATCTATATCCTTCGAGTGGCGGGGGCGGCACCGGCCGTGGCAGCTGTTCTCGTAACATCCCGTCAAATATGACGAGAAAGCGCGAGAGTTCCCTCCTCGGCTGTCTCTCCCTGGCGTTGCTGCTCCCGGAAGAACGCGTACTCGTGATGTAGGCAGCGTAGCGCTGCGCAAGAAATTCACTTCCGGTCAGCGAAACGCCTCGTTCGGCGCAGAAATGTCCTGGACCTCGACGGCTTGCCGCCGCGTTTTCCGCCCAGCGTTTCGACCCAGCGGCAAAAGTTGTGCGGATTGGCTGGCTGATCCGCAAGTGTAAACGTACCATAAGACTGCCGTGCATCCTCCTATAGTCACCGACGGCGGCTCTCAGATACGCAAGGCGTGGCGAGTCCTATACTTCGTTTCAGCTTCGGTCCGAGCGCGGCCGATGTTATGAGCCGAAGGGCCAATCAAATAGCGAAGGAGGCACAACGTCGTGGCGTGCATTCTGCAGTTGATAGGACCAGCCAGTATTCGCCGTCTCTCTGTGCGTGCTCCTCTGCCGGCTAGTTCTATAAAGCGCAGAGAGCACGCCATGACGTTGCGCTTTTTGCGCTGTTTGATTGGCCCTTCGGCTCATAACATGGGCCGCGCTCGGACCGAAGCTGAAACGAAGTATAGTAACTCGTTATCGCTGCCGAGCCAATCAAGTTGCAGCATTAGCAGATGAGAGCCTTGAAGAACCAATCACGAAGCGAGGAGAGTGGACCCGATTAGCCAGACCCTGCGTTTGTGAAGCTGTCGGAGTCTAAAGCGGTTGCCGTTTCTAACATGGGTATATTACGTTTGTTCAACAGCCGCTAATGCAGTGACAGCTGAATATCAGCTCATTTATTCGGACTACTCAAGCTGCGACGTGATGGTTGCCCTTGGAACACAGGAACCGAGTGAGTAGAGGGGCCTTCGCAGGGTCAGCTTTCGGGCCTCGTTACGCATATTTTTTTATTTTTTTATTTATACTAGTTGTGTCGTTGCACACGGCACTACCATGCGCGAATACATATATTTCTTTGTTCGGTGATATCTTAAAAGACTGAATTTCTCTGCAAGTCTGACCGCCGCCGATGATAGAATCCAGTGGAGCCTATCAGGCAGCGTCAAAAATGGATCATGACGAGGCTCGTTTTTTCGCTGTTGCTTTTGTTGTTTTGGGGTAGCTTTACATTTCCAATTACGCTCAAGGTCACGTAGCGCCCATGGCTGAAATGCAAGGTCACATAATCAAAGGCACGTATTCCCCGTGGCTGAAGCGTAAGCTCCGTTTACGTGACCTCGTAAGCACCGGTCACGTGAGCTCCGTTCGTATAAGCGCCGGTCGCGTAAACGTGTCGTCTTAAAGGACGTCCATGAGGTTGTCCTTGAGATGGCTTTTGAGGTCGTCCTAGAGGTTGTCCTAGACGTCGTTCTTGACGACGTCCTCTAGGACGCCGTGTTAGACGCCGCCCTAGAGGTCGTCCTCGACGTCGTCCAAGACAACGTCCTTCACGTCATCCTCGATGTCGTCCTAGAAGTCACCCTAGTTGTCGTTCTTGATGTCGTCCTCTAGCACGTCGTTCTCGACGTCGCTCTAGACACCGTCCTTGAAGTCATCCTCGATGTGTGCGCGGCTTGTTCAACTATTGCTTATTCAACTGACGTAAGCGAGCGCATGTTGTTCGGTGTCGAGACGTATTGGTATTGTTCCGTTGAATTCGTTACGTCATTAGATATTTATCTCTGTTCCGATGTATGGTGAACATTTCTGATGCTTATTCCATTAAGTGGTCCATTGAAGAGGCTTCAAAGTCTTTGAAATAATAAATAAATAGATGATATATTTATTATAATTAATACATTATTAATGATTCAATGATTTATTAATAACTTCATTTCAATACTTAGTCCATTATGGAATTAATTAATCAGAATGAGCTGGTGAGGCTGGAACTTTATGTGACCCAGCCATTGTGTTCCGCAGCAACTGACGCTACATGCTCCAGATTCGTTTGGATACAGGCTGGGCAATGTAAAAAAAAAAGATTTAAAAATCAATTGATGTAAGACAATATCGAAGTACGTCGCACGCAGTTTTACTTTAGATATTTAGACTTCAGTTGATTTGAATAGCACGTATATGCAAAATAGCAATCATCCACAAACTTTCCTTTGCATCACCGAGGTGAAACTCGTCAGTCAGTTTAGGGCGCGCTTTCCAAGCTGTTTTACGGTATAAAGGAGAATGAATAGTTTTATACAACCTTCGTTGTGTTTAAATAAAATACGATTTCATACTAATTATATAAGCTTTTAGGGATGACCAACTCGTTTACAAATCGCGCTCTAGCTTTATTTTTATGAAAAAAAAATTAATTAAGCTAGTTAGAAAAAGTTGAAATATTAAGTACTCCTGGGGCCTATCCATTCCGCGGAAAGGCATATTTTAATGGCCAAAAAGGTTTCCTATTTTGTGCTTCAGGTATTTTCTTTTCGCACTTGCAATCGGGTTAGTATTTAAGAAAAAACGCAGATATTGAAATACATAACAGCCAGGATAACCTCATTGCTGCTACAGGTTGCCGACACTATGATGAGTTTATTCCTACCAGATTGTAACTTGGTGATCTGTTATTATTTCTTGGTACTCAAGTGACATTTTGTGCGTCAATTTCTTTTGTAATATTTCTACTATTCTAACGTAAATACAAAACATCGCTTTTTCGGGTTGTATAACCTAGCACGTTACCGTTTCATATGTTCATTTCCTTGCAAATCTTTACGTGGGGCAAGTAAAATGTTAGTATCGAAACTATATTTTAGTATCAACTTCTATTTTTTTATTGTTGGTCGTGAAAGTAGTGGAGTTGTCTTCGATTAAAAAGTCTTGCGTGGAGGCTAACAATAATTAGAAAAAACACGAAAATATTGATCCGCTATAATCTCTCGCATAAAAAAAAATTAAGCAATCAAAAAGAATACAACAAAAACTTAGAATATTCCAATTTCTTCTTTCCAGGTTGTGAACTGTGGATCAAAGATGGCAAACAAAACATTGAAGACAACAATGAAGTCAAATCAAGGGACGGTGACAGAGATAATATCAAGAATAGCATAACCAAATGCAAAGAAGAATACGACAATCTATGCAAAGTGAAATACCAAATCTACGACAGAGATACATGCAGTTTACCCAATGAAATGGCCGCACGAGGGGGGCACTGTTGAGGGGTCTAAAGTTGACTAGAAATGGCCAATCAAGAGACACAACATTGCCGGCAATCAGTTCAGAGCACTTTGGAATGGGCTCAATTAATCATTGTTTAGTTTCTACCGGTTATGGGTTGGTTGGTTGTCCAAATAAATTGTCAAAGCAGATTAATGATTCTTTAGTAATATTTGAAAACTGTTTCAAGAACAAATATTTACAATTGTTTGTTCTCACACAATATCCAAAAAAAATATCTTTGTTCGTTTTTTGTCTGTTGTTTTTAGAATAACATTTGGTAAAGTTGATTTTCTGCTTAACTTAGAATTTGCATACGAATTTAAGACGCTTGTTTTCGCTGGTATTTAAAAAAATAGACACTAAAATGTCGGATTAGCGAAGCTCTAATTAACCATTTCGTTACAGATAAAAGCGGTAGCAGATAAAGCCACGCTATTTTATTTAAATTAGATATATAACGTTCGTCCTGCTGAAGCTTCGACATCTGTCTTTTCTTTAATGCTTGCCAATACCATACCGACTTCACTGTAGCCGACGCAAGGATCCTACGCAGAGCGCAATTTCGTATACTTCTTGCACATGGCTTGCGATGAGGTCAAAACGCCGAGCTCTTATTGGCTTATTGAAAAAAGATACTGGGTAGACCTCAAGGCATTTAGGTCTACCTATTTAACGTTCAATCAAAGCCAATCAGAGCTCGGCATCGTTCTGTCGTCAAGGCAACTCCTGCGCAAGAAGCAGACGACTTGCTCCTCGCACTGAGCACAATCGAGCCGCGCCTAGAGGGGTATCGTCACAGCGCCCATTGTCTTTTTTGCGTTGCTACCACCAACTAAACCAATCACGCACTGTGAATGCGATGCCATCTTGCACTTTTTTATCTGCGCACGATTGGTTTAGGCGGTGAATGACAACCCACAAAGGAAACGAGCGCGATGACGATGCAATTTTGGCGCCACTTCACTGGCCCCCCGTTGGATTGTAGCGTCGGCTGCGATCGAACTTCATGTGACGCGAAGTATTGTACCGGTTCAATATGGTTGTCTAAGAACAAAGAAACGTGGCTCGTTAGATCGGAAGGCCATGGTTTTCCGGTTCTCACACCGCAGGTTAGAATGGGCGCGTTAAGACCGCGCGCCTTTACTTCTACTCCGACGCTCCGAGTTCCATACTCCGAGCGCAGCAGCTGAACGACGCATGGCGTACAGGAGCGCGACACACCGAGGCTGCGTTCCAAATGTACTCGAATGAATCTGAGTTACCTCATGGCGAATTATGTCACGTGACGACAAAAATAGAAGAACGCTGGACGCGGATAGGTTTTCGAACGCTAAGGTACAGTACCTTTACCTAGAGTGGGATTGATTAAATTTTGGAACACGGCCCGTAAATATCGAAGAGCCACACAACCTCCTTCTGACCACACGGTTATAGCGTACCCGGATTTTTCTGAATACGGGTCGTAGAAGCCAAAATTATTTCGAAGATCAATTAATTAGGCCCGTGTGAAGCGGAAGAGTTTAAAGCAAAAGACACGGCGACGTTATGAAGTCTCTACGAACATTTTAAAATTTCCGGGAAGGTTTGACGACTCGCTTTGTGCACATATAAAGAAAGTTACCCCTGCCGATCTATTTATTGACCATACATGCTGTTCTGGTTTAAATTAAAGACATTCTTGAACCCGCTCGTCGACTCAGAGAACCATTAGATTTGTCGGAGACTCCGTGGTTCCGTCCTGCGCTGCGAGACGGAAGCTACGCCAATACCGGCTCACCGCTTTTCAATATCACGTCAATTCGTTTTGAGGCGGAATGCATGAACAAACCTTTCCGCGACACTTAACTGATATGTTTCAGCTTTCTAATCGAAGTATCTTGATTTGCTGGGCTTAACAGCCAGAGTCCGACTGTCTCTTCATCTCGACAACTTTTCTGTCGCTGTGCTATCGGCACGCTACCATTTGATAGATAGATGAATTTCGCTTTTAGACGAGATGCACGAGCAAACCTTTCTCAGAACGCTAATTGCTGTCCTGGGTTTCAAAGCAAATCGTTTTACCTGCTGGGAAGCACTAATCAACTGAAAAGTGGCAGCGGTTTGGCTACACCTTTCGTCTCGACGGCCTGAACAGCAGCGTTGCCATCTTGTTTGTTTGCGTGACGTCACGGAGCGCGAAGAAGTCACTCGCATTCCGAGAAATTGTCGGTGCACCAAGAACGCGCTCGAGTGTCAGCCTCCGGGGGCACTTCTTTCCGTTTAGTGGAAAGAGCACCAAACTCTCGCGCTCCGGAGCACGGACTTTACGCGCCGTCTGATGTCTACCTGGAACTCGACGTCTTGGAGCTGCAGGGAGGATGGCATTCGCAACGCTTCGAACTCCTCCTCCTTCTCTCTAGACGCCAGTTCGCACATTTAAGTTTGCTTATTATGACCGAGTTTTTGTGATTTCTTACGACGAGAGAACTCGCTGGCGTGCTTGCGCCATCTATGTGGTGACCCTCGAACTGCATCTCATTAGAGTGACGGTGTTGCAGTATTTGTGAGATCCATTGTTCGTTTCGTACTATCTGTGAGAAATGTTTGTTTTTAAGATTGTCAAAATTTTTTCTAATAAAAAAAGAAATAATTATGCCCGAATAAAAAGGGAAGATCCATTGGCTGATTTTAGGAAATGCGTTAGCATGGCCCTTGGGAAATGCCGCACACGTCTGCCTTTGGGAAACGTCATTGCTGACCCCTTTAATTTTTCCTTTTGGACTTCTCTTTTGCTTCCTCTATTTTTGGGGTCTGCTTTTTTATTTCGTGATAAGGCCACCGTTAGCACTTTCCGAAAAAAAAGGGGGGGCGAGGGGGGGGGGGGGGGGGAGTTTGTGGCGTTTTCCAGGAGTCATGCTAACGCATTCCCTAAGAATCCACCAATGTATCTTCCTTCGTTTTGTTGCGGCCATGCGAGGTTGCAGAGCCCGCTTCGCCCCAGCCTCTGATAGGCTGCCTTCATTTGCCGGCCGCTCCGCTGACAGGGTGGAGACACCCGCCATTTTGTGGCGAACTTTGCGATGCTGTCACTGGCGTCATATTGCGTCTATCTTTCCAAAACTTCCGCCAACACACAACATATTCGCTCCACGACTTTGTCGCACCCAATGTGAAGCTAATACTGACCTCAGGCGCCATATTGTGGCGCTTCATTGGCTCCATTGGTGTCTCCACCCTGTCAGCGGAAGCGGCCGGCAGATGGAGGCACCCTAGCCTCTGACGCACGCAGACCGCAGACCCGCGTCGGCTTGCTGCTTCCTGCGCCGCATTTCGTCCAGCCGAGCTAGGTGCTGCTTCCGCTCCTCTGTCCCGATCGCTCGCCGTGCACGATTAGCAGCGTCACCTGCCGCCCGGCGCTGCTTTCGTTGTTCACCGGTTTCCCGCGCGCGCTAATTGGCTTCCGCTCCGTGACGTCACCTCCCTCTTGCCTTTGTCCTTCTCTACTCGTCTACACTCTACGCGGCGCGCTTACACCTTTCCACTGTTTTCTCCGCAGACGCACGCCGCCAGCTTTTTCCTGTCATGTTTGTAGCAGTGCTACTAATTCATTAAAAAAAAATAATGTACGGACATGCCAAGTGCTCCCAAGTGCTCCACCGCTACCCAATAGATGGCGCGACTGTGTTCTCTCGTCGTAAAAGATCCTGTAAAAAGTCAAGGCGTTCGGTCATAAGCAGTCATAAATGTATGAAGCAGCTTTAAAAACTTTGCTGCGTCTGCGTTGCCGCAAAGCACCTGAGAGAGCCGATTGCTGTAATTTACGAAGCTGGATCAATTGCGAGGTTCAAAATGTGTTTACACCCAGAAAATGAGTATGCACTGCGGCTCAAAAGAGGACGTAAAGACACTTGCACAGGGCCACAGCGCAGGTTGCTCTTTTAGGCCAAACCGTCCCCAGCCTCGTCAGTCGCCGAGCTCATTCGTAAATTGCAGCGACTGACTTTCCTGAACCCTTTACGGGAAAATAGCCCCACACGATTCCTTAAGATATTGACTCGCAGGGAAGTGAGTTCCGCAGGGTCCTGGAACGTTTGTAACAAGACGGAATTAATACGGCTGAAGACGTTGGCACGTATTCTACGCCAGGCTGATGTGTCGAGTCTTGGCAGGGCAGCTGACGTACTTTCCGCATTGTGTAAACCAACGCGCGGCCCGGACGTTAAGCCACTACTACGGAGGCGATGGTGTCGACACGGAGCAGACGCTTCACTTCTCGCCAATCTGGTTTCTGCGCACGCTCAGTGCTTTCCTCTGGTGTGGGCAAACGCAGACCTAACCAGACTGTTAAAACTGTTTAAAAACACATTTTCTTTCTTTAAGGTACTTGTCGAGGGGGCCGTCGTGATCGACATTGGTGCGAGGCATATAGAAGTTGCATAAGGGCGATCCTTTCGCTGCATAAAAGGATTCCTCAGCTCCTTTGTTCAAGCAAAGAGAAGCAAAACATCCTTTGTCTGCCAAGGAAAAGCTCGAATGATTGTAGCAGCTGTGACATTGACCGTGGGATGTAACAAATCGCGCTGGCTAGCAGGTACGAGACAAATGACTGACGTAGTGAAAAGCAGCGCGACTCCTCCAAATGTTCATTCTAAAGGACTGAGCTATCAACACGCTGGCGGAGTTATCGCCCATTTACATACTGGCGTTTGAATATACGACCGGCTGAGCCAGGACCGGTTTTTAAGCGTCTTGCGACAGCTTAAGACCGTCCGTGGTGCAGCTCATCATGTCGTAACCTGTCGCAAAAAGCTTAAAAAACGGTCTTGTCTCATTCGGTCGCAGTCAGTCGTAGTTGTGGAACGGACCGTAAGTTTAGATTGCGCGGTTAAAACTCGCTCTTCGCGGTGTTGATTATGATGCCATGCTTGAAGAGGCACTCTATGACGAGGCGTAGGTCTGTGGTCTGCTCTTCCGGAGATGAACTTATCACCAACAGTTCATCAAAGTATGAAAGAACGAA